GGTGCATAACGGTGCGTGGCGCATTGCGCGCAATGCCACAAAACGAAGGGTCAGGCACCCAAATCTGCTGCAATTCACTTTGGACGGCAGCGGCACATGAGGAGGGTTGCGTAACAGCAGAACCTGGAGGCAAGAGCTCAAGCCCAAACAGTGCACTGGCATAGACGTAAGAATGGAAAATGCGGTTGGCAAACAGTACGGGCAAGTTTTCAACAGCAGTCCAAAATAAACAAGCTGCCATTTTGCCTTCTCCACGGGACAGTAAACTATCAACATGTTGCCGCCACCCTAGGTTGCTTTGGAGCACAAAACCGAGGTACTTGTACGATTTTACTACGGGCAATGCCAAACCACCCACATGGAATTCAGGGAGTCGAGCTCGGCCGCGCCCGAAACACATGACGGCAGATTTTTGTGGGCCTGCAGCAAAATGAAAACGCCTGGATTTAGCCCACTCAGCAGCGGCATCCAAAGCGAGCTGGAGATCACGAGGGCTTCCGCTCAGGATTACAATGTCATCGGCATACAGCAACACATGAAGGCGAGGGGCTGCAGGAGAGGGGCCGCCGCGGACACCAGTACAGTCTCGTTTGATCGCGGCAGCCAAACCATTGATTAGAACATTAAAAAGGAAACCGCTTAACACAACTCCTTGGCCCAAACCGTTCTCAACACCCCATTGTTCCGAGACAGATGATGCAATGCGCACTGCAGCAGTCCGGTTGGAGACAAAGTCGTCAATCAGGTGCCACAAACGACCTGACACACCAGCACGGTGCAGACGGAGAAGGGCCCCGTCACGCCAAGCGACATCAAAGGCTTTCCGAATGTCAAGGAAAGCACAGTACGTGCGAAACCCTTGTCGCAGTTTCAGAAAACTTTGAAGCTCTTACGACCCGTTGTCCCCTCGCTACTGCCCGCAACTTTCGACGGCGCTTCCGTCGCAAACGCTTTCGTGTTACGAAGGAATTGTGCCCAAGTTTCTTCCAGCCCCCGGTGCGCAACAAGTTTGTCTAAATTAATGGCGTGAACATCTCATGCGACTCATGCACGTTAATTTTTTTTAATTCGCGCAACTCGACTGAATTCGATCATCGTCAGTATGCTCGTGTGCAGCGGGGTAGGTGTCGCGACGCTTTCCCCGCGTTGCTTGCTGCGAGGAAGCCCAGTTGACTGTTAGCTCCGGGCCGCGGCTCGCCGGAGCGACTGACGGGGCTGACGCAGGTGGTGTCAACAGCAAGCTGAGCTCCATGCCAGAGCGGGAGGCCATTGCAGACGATCTCTATCCGGCGCGCTGCACCTCCTGGCAGACCCTGGCGACAGCTCGCTCGAGCGGGAGCGCGCGGGAGGCAATGGCGCCCGACGTCGCGCAGGCTGCTCGGTGGTCGCCGAGCCGGTCAAGCAGACCATGGCAGGCGCAGAGCCGGGGCGCGAGCGGCAGCGCAAGCGGAGCGCAAGGCGCAGGTGGCGCAGAAGAAGCACCCTAGACTCTGCGGAGGGGATGGTGACTGCTTCGTGAATGGGGCGGACTGTAAAGCAGCAGGCGGCGTGTGGCCCGGCCTGGGACAGCAGAAGCGCTCGGGACGCGGGAGGCAGGGTGGCCAAATGCGTCTCGAACGCGCGCTGGTCACAGGCGCGGGCGGCCCTGACTGTGCCGCCCCCCGAGCCAAGTACCTCCTGCGGAATGTCTCGCCCGCACTCACAACCCATTTCACTGCGGCTTGCGATGCCGCTGTTGCGACCTGCCTGGGCTCCGTTGTGCACAGCGGCGATCAACTGCCGGCCCGCAGTGCAGGCCTCGCAACTTGCCCTTGGGTTCGGCGGACTTGGGCTGCGCTCGGCAACTGCTGACCGCTGCGCCGCCTACTGGTCCTCCTGGCACGACATGCTCCCCGCTATCCGTGCCCGCTCCCCGCAGATCGCCGCCAACCTCCTGCATGCGCTCGCCGCATCATGCCCTCGCCGTGGCCGCGCAAGTCGGAGATGTGTGCTGGCTCCCCTCCAGTTGCGTTCCGAATGCGGGTTTTGCCACGGTTGAGCTCAATGCATGCATGCTCGCGAAGTGCCCGCTGACAGGCATCCAGCAGTTCCCGGATGCGCTCGGGAGCTGCAACGACATACATGTCGTCGAGGTGGGCAAAGACGGCCTCGCCATCTCGCAATTGTGCGTGAACAGCTGCGAGGGCTGGCAGTTGCGCGATGGAGTACAGAGCGGGCATTAGCGGGTCGCCTTGCTCGCCGCCTTCAAATTGCCGTGCCTCGTGAGACTGCCCATCAGCGTCCCGCCAAACGTACGTGCTGTTGGAAGCATAGAATTGGCGCACGTAGCGCAGCAGCGGCTGCAAGCCGGGTCTCTGCCTGAGGCCCGCAAGCATCCCGTGGCGCGACACATGATCAAATGCGCCGATTGCGTCGATGGACAGCACGG